GTTTGCAACATGTACAGCTGCATGAATATGCATCCTGTAAGCTTAGAATAAGTGGATGAGAAGAAAAGCAGGTGAGACTGATTGAGGTGATCCTGCCTTTTTGGTTCTGTAATGCCCAAAGATTTCCAAAACAGCAGAGAACTTCCTCTAAAAAAAAAGAACACAACTCCCCCAAACCAATAATCACGACAGGAAATGTTTCCCTGTACCATACCATTGCTCTTTTTGGAAGAAATATCACATTATCTAGAATGTGCTCTCACACAGAGGACTAATATGGGTCAGGGAAGAGCTGTGGTCAGTTTGACCTTGGTCAGGTTGCACAAATAGATGCAGTCACTGTGGTCTGAGATAATACTGAATATAAATAGGTGGAACGGAGCAAGTAATCTTTGAAGGGAAGTGATCCTGCCCCTGTACTCGGCACTGGTGAGGCCGCACCTGGAATATTGTGTCCAGTTTTGGGCCCCTCGCTTTAAGAGAGATATTGAGCTCCTGGAGCGAGTCCAAAGAAGGGCGACCAAACTGGTCAAGGGGCTGGAAAATAAAACTTATGAGGAGCGGCTGAGGGAGTTGGGGCTGTTTAGCCTGGAAAAGAGGAGGCTGAGGGGAGACCTGATTACGGCCTATAAATACTTGAGAAAAGATGGTGGGGAGGTAGGGGAAGGGCTCTTTACATTAGTGACGGGTGATAGAACAAGAGGAAATGGGCATAAGCTTAGTCAGGGGAGATTCAGGTTGGATGTTAGGAAGTATTTCTTCTCTGAAAGGGTTGTCAGCCACTGGAATAGGCTGTCCAGGGAGGTGGTTGAGTCCCCATCCCTGGATGTGTTTAAGAATAGGGTGGATGAGCTACTTGAGGATATGGTTTAATGGGGATTAGGGATGGTTGGACTCGATGATCTCTAAGGTCTTTTCCAACCTAGAAGTCTATGAATCTATGAATCTATGAAGTTTCTTACATTGGCTGATATGGCTTAAGACATTCCTATCAAACTTGCAGTTTGGCTGAATGGGTAGCAAGGTAAGGAAAGAGGCAGATCTCAAGACATCTGATGCAGTGAATATGATGATTACTGCAATGATGATACTGTTGCCTTCTACAATGACATTCTTTTGGAGAAGGAAGTATGCGTGTTCTCCAAGAAATTGAGTTTCTTCTATTTTCTCATCCTTCTGCTTAGAACTGAGTTGTCTTCCAGTATATGAGTGAAGCAGACAGAAGGGGCTGAAGGGAAAAAAAGTGATGATGTTCTAAGGGATTCATGTGTGTCAAGACCTGTCACACGTGTCTACGGATTCCACAGCAGAAAAAGTATCAATATGCCTCTCTCACACTTAATAACCTGTGATTTCTTCCAGAAACCCAAAAGTCATTGACTAAGTCTGTCAACCAGAATAATTAATTTGCTGCAGGACTTCAGTGCTTTAATCCCAAAGACCTTGAGTTTATGCTAACAGTTTATTCAGAGTTTCATTTGATGTTTGGGGCCATACAAAATTCTCTTGCTTTCTTTATTCTTGAAACACATAAAATTAGAAGAGTGGCAGAAGAAACTGGGAAGACTAGAGTAAGGCTCACAGTTATGATGCCTGTTATGGGAATTTAAAGCATATTTGTAATTTCCTCAAAGACTGCTGCTCAAAGTAAGATTTCAGATGCATGCACACCTATGATAGGCTCTGTGAGACATTTACTCTAACACATCGTGCACTAATTCTTGTGGGAGTGGAATCTCCTGATCTTGCCGCTGAGTCATTCTTACAGGCTGTGACAAACTCCAGCAACTTGTAAATTCCATAGAGTAATAGTGCACAAACTATGTGCAGATTGTTGAAATTTATTTAGATAACATTCTCTGGCCTTACCTTCAAAAATACTCAAAAGAAGACAACTGGTTTTCTGCCATAAAGAGGAAAGAGTAGAATAAATTATTTAAAACATAATTTCCTAACATATAGTTAACTAACAATCGCACCTATTTGGTCTCCTACCATGAAAAATTTCTCTGTTTGCTTTGTATTTCTCTTGGCGGAAAAATAGGAGAAATTTCTCAGCCACTCTAGACTTTGGAAGATTACTTTTTGGGGGACTACCATAGATGGTAACCAAGATGACTGCTACTCGGATAGAGAAGGATTACACAGACGGGCAAATTGTAGCTTCAAAGCTGCCTATATCCTGAAGTGAGAAAAGAAACTGTTCTTGATCTTACTCTCCTGACTTAACAGTTTTGTTTAACATGAGATTGCCTATTTCTATTGTGTTAACATGGCATACATAAAAGTCTGTGAAGTATTAATTATACCCCTATTGCCTTACAAACTTCTCCTACACTAAAGATAAGGAAAAAACCCATATATTTTTACTACATCACCTACATCATTAGTAGAAATTCTGTTGAAGAAAATGGCTAGTGGGCTTAAAGGTTTGATTGATTTCCTATACATTACAACTTCTGACTGACATTCTGGTACTCCATGTCAAAAGATCCCTATAAAATGTCACATTCATCTTATTTAACCCTGAATAAATCAATATCAAAGCTTTTGATTATATTTTTAATTTTTGTGATCAAAATTATTCACCTTGCTCTCTGTCACCAGAGAAAAATACAATCTTATAGGACAGTTAGCAACAATCAGTAGCACAATAAGACTAGCACTAGCCTGGCATTTCATCATAAGAGAAGTTTGTGCTAAGTTTTCCTATATAACTACTGTCGAGCAGTTCATGACAGTCACAGACTGACACAACAGCCTTTTTGCACAGGGCAGGAAATGTATACTTACTCTTTGAGAGACTCTTCTAAACGCTGGACTCGTAGAAATGCTTCATCTCTCTCTTCATTGGCCAACCTAAGCCTTGCCATGACAGCCTTGTCACGTTCCCGTTGAGCGGAATAAACTTCTTCCACCAGAGCTGCAAAAGTAACCAGTATCTTTAACAAACAAGTTTCACAGGGAAAGACACTATTAGACACACTTACGTGGACCTCTGCCAGCACCTCTTAAAATCAACACTTCTCCACTGACCTTGGATTATTCTCGATAGGTCTATAATACTGTTCAGACACAACATTAAATGGCTGTTGATTGCTAAAATGAATACTTTAAGGAATTAAACAAAGCTATGTGTTTTCAAATTCACCCCTGTATAATCAAACAGGGCAAGAAAGTGATTTGCCTTGCATTCTGAATACTTGCTTAATGGAAAAGTAATTCCTAAAGCTCAGAATCATATGAGACACTAGTAAGTTTCTTCTAGGACATAGAGTTAAAAGTAATGATCCATTAAAACTACTTCTACCATCATACTGCTTCCTATCAGGGTGGCACAATGATATTAAATATTAAAAATTCTATTTTCATAGTCTGTCTCTGGTATCACAAGAGTGGCACAGTTGGCATCTCTCCTTCTCTGCCAAGCCTTTACTTTATTATGTAATATACTGTTATATTATCTGTTACGGCATACATGGACCTTGGAGTATTAGGTGCCAATAAACTAAGATTTACTGTCTATCCTTGGGAGCAAACTAACACCTTCAAGTCATTCCTCATCCCGAGCTTAAATTTTCTTCCTGCCTTTTCCCTGTCAATATGTCTTAACACCATCTCTGGCACACCGCCAGAATCCTTACCTCGACCCTGCCTCCACTAAAATCTTTATTCATACTTTCATCATTTTCCTCTGCAGTACTGCAAATCTCTCCTCACAGTCATCATAAACCCCTAAAGTCAAAATATCTAGGGACTTTCGTGATGCCATAGTAAGACTGCTGTCACTCCAAGACAGAGGACTGTATCCTCTCTTGATTGTCACAGGCACCTCCAAAAAACTCAACTGATGTCTGTAGGTTCCAGAATTCTCTATGCTCTCCATCTAGTCTGCCAAGCTGGCATTTAGGCAAAGTCTCCTAACATCATACTACAGACTCTTTCAAATTTTGGCCTTTTTTTATCTCAAGAACCTTCTACATTAAGCAACTGTTGCTAGGTTTCCTTACTCCCTTCAGAACTCTGCTTCTCTCTGAACCACTGCTCAAGTCATTAAGTAAAGATCTCAAAGAAAGGCTTCCTCTTCAATTTAAGCGAGAGCTTTTATCCTCTCCATTCTTGCCTCAACTGACATCAACTTTGTGGTCTTTATAGGTTAGTTTACTCTTACATTACTGTACAAAAACTTCACAGTGCAATGTAACATAAAACACTTCATGGTTCTTCACAGAATGAAATAGTAGGAACACAGTAGTACGTTTTAGTAGCAGCTGCATCACTGGCACAGAATACACATTATCAGTACTGGAAAAAATCCGCCAACACCACAACCAACTGAAACAGAAAAAGTGGTAAGTTTCAGTACAGTTCACAAACAGCTCAGATAACCAAGGATGCAAGATGAGTGACAAGATAAACCAAAAAAGAGTGAGGAGAGATGAATTAGGAAAATATTCAAGGTAGGAAGGTAATTCTCTTGTCCTCAAGCTGGGGAGAAGAGCATTAGTAAGAAGTAAGGAATCATTTGTTGCAGATCTAGCAAAAGGTTGCACAATAACTGCAGACTGGACAAAAGAAGACAGGAAAAGTCTAAATGTCACTGCTGGGAGTACAGTCCTTTTCTCACAAAAATCTGCAATAGAGCTGCAAGCCTAGTCATCAGGGCAGAGATGGAACAAGTTGTGTCCCAACAAAAAAAAAAAAAAAGAAGAAATTCAGCATCAGAAACACAAATCTTCAAATGTACAGAAAATTTAACACTGATTTAATTCTCTTTGAGTATTTACTTGTTCTACAAGAATAATGTCTTTTTCCTTGAAGATCTTGTTTGCAAGAAGAAAGTTTTGCTTGATGTGGAATGGAAAATCTAAGGTATAAGTAAAGCAGCTGCCGAACTGCAGGCACACAGACTGGTAGTCACGAATAAGTCTGCAGCACTTGCAGAGGATGAGTCCAATATCTACAAAGGTAGGTGGCTCATTAAGAACAACAACAAATTGTAGGAGGTGGGCTGTGCATTTCAGCTCACCAGACTTCCACTTTAGCTGCTGAGATGTGTGAGGGCCACGAAACTAGTGCCTCAGCACTGACTGCCTGGGTAAACTATTTGGAATACACAAGCAGTTTAATTATGTATGGCAATTATCACCTATCCGTACCTTAATATATTTGTTTATTATGTTTTTTCCTGTAAATTATGTCAGTTTATCCAGTATCATGCCAGAGTCACTGCATGGAGAACCCTTCCCATAAAGCTGCAAGTGGAAACATTATGCAATTTTCATGATGAAAACAATTTTTGGAATGAATAGAAAGTTGTTTAACATAACTGAAGATTTGGCACTTAGTACTGTTCTGAGGTTAATTAGTTTCCAGATTAGTTTACTACTTCAAGTTAGTTTTCAGATTAGTTTACTACTTTAAGTGCATTCCTTCTTCTGTCAGACCCTACAAGATCCTCACCTTAGCATGGAAAACTTGCTGAATGCTACAATGGATCTCGAGCATACAACTACACTTAGAGGGACTGTGTTTTGGTCTATCCCATGCCCTCCCTGAGGAACTATAGTAATAATATATATTACTATATATATATTGTATATTACTAATACATATTATTATATA